TATTAATTAATTCCAAATACTAGGAAATCAGAAAACAAGCCCAACTAGTTAATTCAAAAGGCAATATAGAAAAAATAAAATGTTCAGTAACGGATTATACCATCAACATTTTGGAAGGCTTGGTTATCTCTGCCCATTGGCAGCAGCAAAAAAGTAAACCTAAAATCCAAAATAAAGAACATTTTCCAGGTTCTTCTGTTTAAACTGTCTTTCTCACACATAACTACTTTCTATATTTAGTCACAGAACTTAACATTCTAAATTGCTAAAAGAGCTGTCTAAAGAGATCATAAACTGTCCTATTGCCAAGAGTTGCTTTGTTCCCCTAAGATTATCTACAATAACTTTAAAACTAACTGAATCAACATATACATACTTGACTGTCAATATTCCCAACACTAAGAGCTATTTCTTTTTGAATGGAAATCACTAAGATGGCTTACGAAGAAAAGAAAAAGCACATCCACCACAAATATTTGATCTCCTTATTATAAAATAATGGGCTAATTTTGGTCCCATTATTTCAGTTACAGTAAATCAATAGGACACACCATATTATCTTCTTCTTGATCTGGCAGTACCTTGTTATCTGTGAGAAATGTAGAGCAATCAATGGCAATGTGACTGAGAAAGTTTCATGGTTCATCCAAAGGCAATTACTTTTGAATTTAAAAAATAAGATCACTCTATAGATTTTTACTCACTTCAAAACATTCTTTTTTTTTTTTTTTTTTTTATTTCAGCAAATTATGGGTGTACATATGTTTAGGTTACGTGTGTTTTCTTATAATGCTATTAATTTATATATGCAAGCAACCGCAGTCTATAAACCAGGCTCCTACAAATTTTTCAAAAACTACAGAATACTTTTCTACTTTTTTCCTTTTATTACAAAATAAAATTAAGAACATAATGTAGGGCCTGAAAACAAAGCTTCTCATTTTTTGTTTTTGTCTTTTTGACAGGCTTTTGCTTCACTGATGTGTACATGGAAACAAAAAATTTTAGGTACCCAGCCTCATATACAGGAAAAATACTAACACACTTGTGTTCTGCTGTCAGTCTAACCACTGTACGCATCAGAGACAAATACCTGGGGATCTGCTCACAGGGTGGTTGTGAGGCACAAGTGAGATGAAGAGCTCTTTGTAAACTAGAATTACAGAATGATTTAACGTGCAGGGGAAAATGAGATGAAAGACACACTCAACTGCCAAAGCTAATAACCTTTCTCAACACTTAATCAAACACTGCTTGTTCCATGTCTCCAGTGCCTTTGGAGTTGCTCCCTTCCATCCCACCTCCAAGCTCATACCCCGCCCCCATCTCTCACTCAGCCACTGCACATTGACAAGTACTAATCTAACAGATTCCCCACAGCCTCTCTAGCTTCATCCCCTTCCAACTCCATCTGTACACTGTAATCAAGAGAACTCTCTAAAACACAAAAGTTAAAATTAAAATTCAGAATAAACAGAGGATTTGGTGCTAAATCTTAATTTGTGATAGAGTTAATAAGCAGGTCAGCATTTTGTAACATTTATTGAAAAGTACCATGACTTTCATGGCCATAAGAACATGCATGAGAACCACCCCCTCACAAGAGAAAATCCAAACTTCCACACCTGCCATTCAGGCCTTTGGAACCCTCTGCCCCGCCCAATTCCCAGCTCACCTGAGGTTTAAGCTACAGGAAAACACATACCAGCCCCTGAAGGCCATTTCCCTGATCCTACCCTCCTTCAACTTGAGCACCAACACCTTGGGGAAATATTCTCTCACAAACCCCAGTCCACTTCTCAACAGGCCAAAACTGCCACCCCTTGTCTGGCTCTGTACAGCACAGACAGCACTCTATTAGGGACTGATGTGTTGTCATTTGTGGTCAACTCTCTCCCACTAACTAGACTGCATACTCTTGTTTCATCTCCAAATCCCAAGAATTGAGCACAGTGCCTGACCTAAAAGGGATGTTCAATAAGATGGTAAATGAGGGGCCGGGCG